ACTCTTTTTGAGACAAAAAACCCTACCTTTTTACTCAATCAGGACTCATACCCTGAGATGCTAACCACCCACCGCAAAACCAGCTTTTCAATCCAGTTGAGAAACCTGGATACTAAGGTCACACGATCTACAGTGAATGTGATATATGCAACACAGATATTTGCTGCACTGGAAATACAACAGGTCCTCATCTGCTACCGTGGCCCTGATCCAGGTACAGTCTAGTTAAACAAGGAGCCCTTACTGGAGCAGTACTCATTCATTTAAGGTTCAGTGGGACTAATTCACATGAGGATTGCTCCAGACTTGGCCAAATTTGGGTCTCTCAGATACACAAACAGTTAAAGTCAACAGGAAAAGATGATGCACAAAGTTAGAAGTCTAAGAGGTAAACGTAACAAAGAATGAAGAAAAAAAATAACCAAACAAAAAAACCCTACAGTACTTTTTGGATGTACTACTAAGACACAGTGGAAGATGTGACAGCACTTTTAAGAAAAAAGAACAGGGGAAAAGTTCTAAGGAATAAACATTAGGAAATCTAATGGCAAAAAAAAAAAAAAAAAGACAACTTAATATAAAGGCTCAATTATTATTTAATCTTCGAGGTGGTTATCCCAGCCAGTTTGTTGAAAACATCCTGCTTATATTGCGGAGGAAAAACACACTTGGCTTAATATTCTTGCTCATTACACAAGCCACTTAATGTGAAGCAAAATAAAAAATTTGTAAGTAAAACCTGACACCCTGTGATTGGAAAAAAACCCCAAACCAACAAAAAACCCACTCAAGACTGCTGGGCAAGTGTCCAGGTAAAACACTGGGAAAAGATGCCAAGTCTTCCAAAGTACATGGTATAAAAATTGCTTTCCAAAATAAATGTCAGAAGTCTCCATACAGATTTCTGAGCTGTACCCCCAACCTTTTTTTTTTTTTTTGCTTATTTGTTGTCACAGCTAAAATGAAAAACACAACTAGAGCAAAAAATTATTAAACCCACTAAGAAGTCTCAATTTGATACACACTGCAGGGTGGGGTAACCAAAGTGGCTGGTAACAAATGGATACTTGTATTATTATTTTTTTTAACCAATTAAGCACTGAAGGATTCTAAACAGGAATGCTGAAACCACCTGTAAAGTATGTATATATTTAAACTGCATAATCTGGAGAACCAAAACCAAGAGCAAAACGATAAAAAGAGCTCTGTTTGTCACTTTGTAAAGTAAAAAGTGCTTTTCAGGGAAAGATGTTATGTTTGACTTATCTGGAAAGAGATGCTCATAGTCTACTCAAGCTGAGTTTTCCCCAGCCTCTTTTCCCTACCTTCTTTGTCAAGATGTTTAAAAAAGACACCGCCACCAATTCCCTCCCTGGAACAGTTTTCTAAAAGCCCAGAAGTACTCTAACATCAATTCCTGTTGACTTTTCACTGTTATGAACTCAAATGGTAGCAGAATACTGACAAAATTAAGCAGTGGTCGTCCCCAGAAGACGAGTCTGGTTAGCAGAATGCTCAGAAATCACTTGCAATGGTTCAGAGTGCTGTGACTAAGCCCTACTAGCAACACCACAATTAGCTGCATGTAATTTGGAAAGGACCAGAACTGTCAACTGTAGTTGGAAAATAGTAAGATTCATGTTGCTTTAACAATTTAGGAGAACTATCACCAAGGAGACAGTCACTAGCATTTGCAGGCCTGCACGTTTACAGAAAGGAGGAGCAGACTGTTGTACTACAAAAGGTTTGGACACGGCAGACTGCTGAAGATCCAGACTGGCAACCCTTCAGCAGTCAAGTCACAACCCACTTCCAAGTGACTGCCAAGTTCCTGGGCTCTTATATGACTAAACCCTACGATTTCCTCTCTTTTAGGACACTGCTGATTTCATAAAACACAGCCTCTGGCAAAGGACTCAGAAATTCCCTCCGCAAAATAAAAAAATCAAATAAAATCCCAAACTCCCTAAATAAACCCTACTTCTACTGGCCTGTAACAGAATTACTTTTTTTTTTAAAGCGCATTATTATTGATGCATTATTTCCAACACACATGTATACACTCGGAAGTACACGCAGCGCAACATGAAAACACTGGGCAACTGATATGAGAAGGACAGGAATTTGGCATCCGAATCTTTTTTTTTTTTTAAATAATAATAAAAAATCTCAACTACTGTAATTCATTGCTTGACATGCTTATGCAGCATGCTGTTTTCTCCTCAAGAACGGGTACATCTATTTCCACGAAGTGGCTACGCTGCCTCCCTTTGCCTCATCTTCCCTCCCTTCGCCTACTGTAGGGCATGTGGGTGCATGTAAAAAGGCACTAGCGCGGTTTTTGTGGTTTGAGCCTAGCCATTTCAGGCAGAGTTAAGCCCCCGACCCTTAAAGCTGGGAGACAGAAGTTGGCCATCCCAACGCTGAACTCTGAAGTTCGAGACTGTAAGCCCTGACAGCCAGCAGCAATAGGGTGAACAGAAGAGTTTTAACACATTATTTCCCTCATATAAAATAAAACGGAAAGACTGGGAGGTGGGGCGGGTTAAGAAAAGCAAGCAGCAAAATCTCCAAGTGGGGAATAAACTGACCAAATAGCTGAAAACAGGTAAATAGATTTCTAACGTACATTTTGCTGGAGTTTTTCTATATTCTCTCCTTTTTCTGTACTGAAAAAGGCAGGATAATGAAATACTTCATTATTGAGCATTCTGTCAGAATTGGTTTTCTTTAGCACTACTTTAAAGTGGTTTAAAGAAGCACCATCATGTATTTCCTGCTAGTCCTCCTAACCGAGGACTCTTTCAGTTAAACTGTACTGCATTTTAATTAGGTTTTATAGTTTCACTTTGCTTTTAAAAAGGTGCTTGGAAGAATATTTTCGATTAGTTTCAATCACGAGGGAACAAAATGATAATTTCCATTCGCACACTTCTCTTCTCCATGCAACTGCACACATGTCTGCATGAGTAACAAAGCACTATAAATGATAACCCTTCTTCTCCCACAACTTGTTTAAGATTACAATGAATTTCTGTTGCTGATATTGAGAAGTTTTCTTAATGTATTTTAATTTATGCAGTCTTTAAAATTCTTGATCCCCCGCTTGACAGTAACATTTGGAGATTTTTTCTTTTTTTCTTTTTCTTTTTATTTATTTTTTTTTAGCATTTTTATTTTAAAGTAAAAACTCTCAAACATTTTGAAGATTCAGGAACTTGTAAAAGTTTATCAACAAGAAACAGCCATCTATCTAGGATAAGATAAGGTTAAATAAACCATCTTCAAAAAACTGGCTTCCTACCCTAGAATTCCTGAGAATGCTTGCAAATTTAAAGCAGGAAAATAAAATGTTAAAATAAAAACAAAAACACTGTTAAATGCTCCCAGAGTTAGTCTTCATCTAAAATATATATATATGCACTTTTTGGTCTTTTTTTTTTTTGTACGTTTTAATTTTTTTCCCTTTAAGCTTACAATGGAAGAACAATTTAGCTTTTTTTTTTTTTTAAATATCTCAAATCCCTCATTATGTCTTGTAAACAAGAGGGGCTCTAGCACCCGGCTTTCACCGTAGTATCGCAATGAACTCAACTAGCCCAAAGTGCAGGAAAAGGGACCTTAGGGCAGGTTGGGAGAGAGAAGTGAGGGTGGAACACAGCAATGAACCAGCATGTAGAGCAAATCATTGTGACAAGAACGGATACTGGCTTACTTGGGGCCAAAGGTGCTTCGCTAGGAAGTACTGCTGGCACAGGACTCTTTAAGAACCTGCTCTGCGTGTCCAAGAGCGGCTGGTCTTTGAGCAGAGACTGGCAGAAACAAAGCTTTATGGATATGTGCACGCGAGGGGCACTATAGCTAGCAGGAGCTGGAAGAGAGCATTTTTGTTTCTTTGTGCATGGTGGGATGGATGAAGGAGGAGACATGATAGAAAAGTATATTCAGAAGGGGCCAGAGTATGCTGCACACTCCAGTTAACTAAACAAATACAAACCTACTCATACTTTTTGTCACATAACACTTTGCATACAAATCTACAGGCATGTGTATATGCAGCATTTCCCTCAGTCAGTCTTCCTTGTGACATTGGGTTTACATAGAAAGGGCGAATTAAAAAAAGCCACGTAACTCCCTAGCCCTTCCCTCCCACCCCCAGCACACAGGCATACACACACACACACACGCACACCCCCGTCCCCCCTACACTACTTGAAACTGCTTCTTTTGCTTCTCCCCCCCCCAACCCGTGCTTAGAGTTAAATGTATTAGACATTGTCGTATCCTTCAATGAAAACGCTGAAGAAAGAGACTCCCCTATCCTCTCCCCCCCAGGTAATAAAGCCCGAGCACTGCTCCCGCTGAGGGCTGGAATGGACAGGCATGTGCTGGTACAGAATGTCGGCACTTCGTTAGACAGTATAACAGCTAGACAACACCACAGGGAAGTCCTAGCACTTACAGAAAAAGTACCGGCATCTCTCTTCCCTCTTCTCCTGGCTCTACCCCCCTCCCCCCCCCCCCCCCC